AGTGTTTGGAACATAGTAGGTATTTAGTAAATGTTTATTGACTACTCATCTGTTGAGGAATGGCTGGACAAATTATGGCATATGAATGTAATAGAATATTATGGTGGTGTAAGGAGTTTTGAAGGGAGTGGCTTCACAGAAACCTGGAAAGGTCTGTATGACGTAGAGTGAAGAGAACAAAAACAGAACAAGTTATAAAATGGCATTGTAAAACCAAACAACTTTGAAAGACTTAAGAACTCCAATCAGTACAGGACCCCTAATGAAACATCTGCCCACCTCTTGGACTCAAGGTACAAATTAAAACATACATTTTTTTTGGACATGGTCAATTAAGAAATATGTTTTGCTTGACTGTGCATATTTATTACAAGGATTTTATTTTTCTTTCTTTTTCTAATGGATGAGGTGAGACAAGATTTTTAGTTGAAAAAAAATTAGAAGACATATGGAAAAAAGTTAAAAACAACCTGAGCAAAGTTTGAACCCACTCTCTCCAGAGACAGAGGTGGGATAAGGAAGAGTACACCCCCTGAGATTATATGAAGAGATCTTTGTACTTTTGTTTTTGTTACATCTTGAAGTAAACATCCCTTTGTAAAAGCTAATTGATGTTTAGTGTTAAAATGGAACTAATATATGATATTCACTGGTATCTAACAGTGGTGATGGATGGAGGCTTGGGCTAATAGTTTTAGAGAACATTTCCAAACCACAAAGGATATCCTTAGAAGCCTGAGGGAAGAGATTACCAGATTGACTCTGGGAGAGTGGGTCAAAGTATACTTGCCACATTGTAGTTATTGAAGCCAGATTTGTATTCAGTTCCTCCTGACTCCAGTTCTGGCCCTCTGTCTACTATGCCACCTAGCTACCCTAGAAGAGTTAGAGCTGAAAGGGACCTTAGAAGGCATCTGGCATCTAGCTCAACCCTTTCATCTTACACATGAGACCTGGGGTTCAGGGAAGTTAAGTGACTTGCAACATAGTAGGCCCTTAAAAAACACTTTTCTCTCTAGGCTGCTTTCTATTCTTCAATTAAAAATAAATGTTTATGTGTATACTGCTACATTTAAGTCATTTATAGTCATTATTAATAGAATTACAGAACATTAGAATTGAAAAAGACCATAGAGATTTTCTAATTCAACCTCTTCTTTTTACAGATAAGGAAATTGAGAACCCAAGAGGCTTAGTGACTTGCCTAAAGTCAAATTGCTAATTTATGGTGGAGTTGGCAACTAAATGCATGTATCCTAAACCTTATCCAGGACTGTTTCAACTATACTGTGCTGCTTTTCCAATTAACACTAAATAAAAAAGATGTGCTTATCCCCAGGACTCTGCATAGTTACATAACATAGTATAATCAACAAATTGTTCCAAAATCCTTAGAATAATTTATTTTCATGTAATTAATCTTCATTATTCCCATCTTCTTCCCCATGGCTTTGCCCACATTGTCATCTGTTAAATTTCTAAGTAAATTTAGCAGATATTTAGTTGAAGCTATCAAATGCAATGGTTTTCTTTCTTAGAAGTTAATTTCATTCAGTTAATACAATTCTTTGGTTGAAGCATTTTAACTACACATGAGAGGATTCAATACATCAACTCAAGTAATTGGGGTTTGTTCTATTGTCTTTCCCCTATAATTTTCCTGTAAGTGTCATGTACAAATCAATATTCCTTACCTACCCCTAAATCCTTAGGCAGCCATTCAATCTCTGGCAAACTTGTACCCCTAAAAGGATAGAGAAAAGGATGGTTATCATATTCGGGGTTTATCAATAGTTATTTTACTACTAATGAATCATCTTTTCACATTTCTTTTATCTATGAAAAACCCTGTCCTAAAAGAAAAGAAGACTTACAAAACGGATAAGAATTAAATCCTAATGTGTGAAAAGAAAATAGTGGCTCTTATAATAATCCTCCTAGATTGCATTTTACCACTTCAGTCCTGTGTTATTGTGGAATGGAACATGAAAAGTATTTAAAACTACTAGTGTCAGATATTTGAGAACAGCTTACCTACAGAATTGTGCTGTAGCAATTTGTGCTTACTTAGGCTGCAGCAAGATATCACCCTCACTCATCTTCAGAGACAAAGACTGGAAAATGGAATCCATTAAGACAGTATTCAATATCTTTCAGTATATATAATGTATCTGGATTTCGGCAAGGCCTGTGATACTGCTAAGATATCCTTCTAGTCAGGATGAATGTAAGACAGTCTGGTGGATTGATATTTATTGAATAACAATATCCAGAAAGTATTATGATTGATTTAGAGTGTGGTTTATTCATGGTGTGTCACGGGGCTCCATTCTTAATCCTGTCCTGTTCTACATTTTCAATCTTCCTATCTTTAAACGTCATGTATAAAGACATAGAAAGTTCTTCACATTTTATTGTTTATATGGAGCTGGGAAAGATAGCTCATAATTTGAATGGCACCAGAATCTAAATTTTAAAATCTCAAAAGGTTGGAATAATAGACTGAATCTATTATCTATTAATACAGATCAATGCAAAATTCTCTTAACCAAGGTTTAAAAAAATTACAAAATTCTAGAATATGGAAGATATGCCTTAGTGGTAATTTAATGGAAAAAAAGTGAGGGGTTTAGTTGAATGTGGCAGTGTGATGAGGCAGCTGAAAAAATGTGAATGTAATTGTAGGAAATGAAAAGATATCTAGTATTTAGGAAAAGGGAAGTAATATTTCTACTATACTCTGCACTAGTTAGATCACTCTTGTAGAGTTGTGTTATGTTTAGTTTTGTATGCTGCATTTGAAGAAAGACATTTTCACACGGGATATTGTCCAAAAAAAAAGGACAATCTAGGATCCCAAGGGGTCTGAAAGTGTTGAAGTAATTGGGAATGTTTAGCCTAGAGAAGAGAATTTGATGGAGGAGGAAGATAAAATTATTTTTAAATATTCGAAACACTTTCATATTAAAGAAGAATTAGATATTTTTCATAGCTACGTGGGGCAGAATTGGTTGAATATTACAGGGAGGTAAATTGTGGCTTACTTCAAAGAAGCACTCTCCAATTTCATTCCATTCTATAAAATTTTATTGAGCTATGTATGAGCTAGGTGATACATTGATTCATTTGAAAAGTATTTATTAAGCACTTGCAGGCTTGTGCTAGGTGCAGGCTCTGTTCTCAGTAAGTAGATGTTTTATGGAATACAACATTTAAAGATAGATAAATATATGATAATTTAAGGATACATTATGCTAAGCATTATGGAGAATACAAAGTATATACAAATGCAACACCTACTCATACCCAAATCCAAAGACAAGTAGAGTCCCTAGAGTGGGGATACTTTGTTGTTGTTGTTGTTCAATCCTTTTCAGTTGTGTACGTTTCTTGGGAATTGGTGTATGGAAGTTCAAAGCTCACCACCAGAAGGTTGGTGGCCTGATTTTGTGTTTGTGTGTGTATGACCACCTCATGATGACTACTTATTGAGGTAGAGGGATTTCTATGGTCAATGGAGAATGTGCCTACATTGATTAAATCAGGAATCTTCTAAAGTATTTAAGTTGTATTATTGCTTACTCCTTTCAATCCTATCCGACTCTTTATGACCCCATTTGGGGTCTTCATGGCAAAGATACTGGAGTGGTTTGCCATTTCCTTCTCCAGCTCATTTTACAGATGAGGAAACTGAAGCAAACAGGGTGAAGTGATTTGCTCAGAGTCACACAGGTAGTAAGTGTTTGAGGCCAGATTTGAACTCAGAGAGATGAGTCTTCCAGACTGAAGCCTGGCATTCTATAGCTGCCCATATTTGAGTTGTATTAGCTTATTGTTAAGCACATAGTGGGTGATCATTAAGTATTTGTTAAGTAGGTGCATAATTGCAGGTTATTTGCCACCATTAAATTCACATTTTTGTGGGTGGTCTGGGTATGTGATGGTGATAATAATGCTAGCTAGCATTTATATAGTGCTTTAAGGTTTGCAAAGTGCTTGGCATTTTATTTGATCCTGACAACAACTCTGTGAGGTAGCTGCTATAATTATCCCTATTTTACAGATGAGAAAACTGAATTTAGTGATTTGCCCAGAGTCACACTGCCAGTAATATAAAGACACTGAAGGGGGCAACCATTGGCAAGATGACAGAAGAAACAGTTCACTTCAGAGCATGGATTCAAACATTACAATATAGTTTCTGGAATTTCTTTATATAGAGGAACATATATTTTTTAATGTTTATTTTTAAAATCACTCTTATTTTATATCATCAAACTTATATAGTCAAGCAAAACAAATTTATATATTGGCCAAAGAACATAGAGTTAGAGCTGAAAGGGACCTTAGAAGGCATCCGGCATCTAGCTCAACCCTTTCATCTTACACATGAGACCTGGGGTTCAGGGAAGTTAAGTGACTTGCAACATAGTAGGCCCTTAATAAGTGTTTAGTGAATGAGTGAATGAATACTAAACAACATACATAAGTTTTGAGCAAAAAGCATTGTAAGCACGTGAGGATGAAGTGTCAGCAGCTGAAAGCAAGAGAGGTCAAGTTTAGCAAACAGGACAGTCACTGAAATGGCAGTGGATTAAATATGTGCCAATTCTATGAAGGTATTTAGATAGTAGCATCAACATTTAACAGCAACAGCAAACATTTATTAAGGATTTCTTTGTAGAATAACTCTATGCACTAAGACAAAACTGTACATCATAAGAGGGACAGACTTAACTGTGGAAGTTCCAACCCCTCCCTCAGGATTTCTGGAACTAACCAGTAGATCTAAATCAGAGGTTCTTAATCTGGGGTATGTAAATTTTTTTCCTTTTTTTTTTTTTAAGGCAATTGGGGTTAAGTGACTTGCCCAGGGTCACACAGCTAGTAAGTGTCAAGTGATTGGTCTGAGGCCGGATTTGAACTCAGATTCTCCTGATTTCAGGGCTGGTGCTCTATCCACTGCACCACCTAGCTGCCCTGTATGTAAATAAAAAAAAAAAATTTTGGTAACAATATTTCTATATAATTGGTTTCCTTTTAATTTTATTTATTTTATGCATCTAAAAATATAATACTGAGAAAGCCTTCATAGACTTCACCAGCCTGCCAAAGGAGTCTGTGACACCCAAAAGGTTAAGAACCCTACATTCAGGTTTTGTTGTAAGTTAGTTGTTCTAGTTTATTGACAAATCAGAGAGTGTGCCCTTGGGCTGGACCAATCTTGAAGATCTGTGAGACTCATTTGTATTGTGGTCCTTCTTGGTCCCTGCTGATTGATAATACATCTTAGACACCGAAGGAAAGTCACATAAAATCTTCCACTTATGGCATCCTGCCTCTCATGTCCCCATCTCTCATATTTCCTTCAGAGTGCAAAAATCAAATAAATATCATTGCTTCTGAAAAGGAGGCATCATTTTGTTGCTCTAGGGTTCTACTCACTATCCCTGTGACTTCACCTTTTCTGGACATTCATCACTTTCCTATGTGTGCTGCTTCCCCCTATTAAAAAGTACATTTCTTGAGAATAGGGGCTGTCTTTTTTTTTTGTTTGTTTGTTTGTTTTTTGTATCCCTAGGTCTTAGTATAATGCTTCAAATACAATAAAAGCTTAATAAACACTTTTCCATTCATTCATGGTGATTTTGGGGCCTCCCAGAGAATACTAATAGCTGCTCAAAACTCTCAAAATAGTCTTAGAAATATTTTGCTTTAACATAAGTCAGCATGACTTCTAAACAGACATCCATTTCAGCTACTCTCTACATGAGTAAGGGCATGGAGAAGACTACACTTGGAAGCAGACACCCCTTCAATAGCTAGTTTCTTTAACTTCTGCTCTCCTCCCTATGCTGGCTTAGATTGGTAGCTCTGGAGAAACCATAGGGTCCTATAGTGCAGGCATGTGAGGGCTTAGTCTTTAAAAATGCTAATCATTCAGATATCCTGGCCAGCTATTTCTAGACAGTTTCTACTATATAATCTGGGAAAAGAAGGAAAAGTAGCCCACTTTTCTCTACCCAGACAGTTCTCATTTCTTTTTTTTCCTGGTAATGAATCCTCATCTTACCCTTTCTTGGCTGCTTTCTCATTGCAATCTAGCTCTGTTATTCTTGCTAAGGACAATGAGAGCTCTAAAATCTGCTTGCTTTGTGCTGGGAGCATGTCAGAATAGCTTTAGCTCATTGATATCCAGGCAGGGAAACATGCATCATATAGGGGAAAAAAAGGCCCTTTATTCCCTCCTGGTTTAACTTTATTTTATCTCATATTTGAGAGACTCTCTCTCTCAAATATGAGATAAAACAAAATTAAACTAGGAGTAGATAAAGGTCTTTTTTTTTCAATATTGAGAGAGAGAGAGACAGAGAGAGATAGAGTCTTCAACATCCTTTGGTTTAAAAAACTTGGCATTACTGTAATTTTCTTCATGGGGCTTTCATTTGTCACCATCTTCATGTTCAACGGAAATCGATCTGAATATCCTATTGTGAGTTTTTCTTTTGCCTTCTCACAGCCTTGTGTTACTATTGCCAAAATTTCAAGCTAAACCTGAAAGACCCCCTCTCATTTTTTGTTTCCTTCCCCTCCCCCCAGCCCTAAGAAGTCCTCCCCTGCCTAGCCCCATCAGGGATAAGGGCTGCAGTGTGCAGGGTGGGTGGTGCCTGCCCTACTCTGCTGACCCAGTGGCCTGAGCCAATCACAAAGAGGATTGGGCCCCTTGCTCCTCGATTCCATTCCCCCTCCCCATCTCCAGGCTCCTAGAAAGAGGGACAGAGGAGGGGTGGGGATTTCAGCTCTAATCCTTGCTCTTTGCCCGCCTCTTCTTCAAATAAGAAGCTGGAGCTGAAGTGCAGGAGCATTTTCTAAACCATAGGGCCAGGAATATCAGGCAGATCTTCTCAGTTGTCTGAAGCTAGAGAGGGAGAGGAAAAAAAAAATAAGAATGGTGGAGGCTTTTTGTGCTACCTGGAAGCTGACCGACAGCCATAACTTTGATGAATACATGAAGGCACTAGGTAAGTAAAAGACAAGACTAACTCTTTCTGAAAACCACAGTATGTGTGTGGTGGTTTTCTGATTCCTTTTTCAACTGTTGTGTGTGGAAGTTTTTTGTTTTTTTTTAAAGGCTGAACCTAGGTCTTCAATTCTGAGACTATGCTTTTTCCAGCAGATTAAAGGACCGAGATGATGTAAATGCAGCCTTTATTATCTCTCCCCTCTCTTCCTAAGCCTGAACTCTTCTGATTGGGTTGTGTTTACCACTTGAGACTAAAAAGAGCTTGCAGATGTTTTGATTTTATCTTTTCATCAGAGTTTCAGTTATTTTGGCAGATAAAATCATGTTACATGACTAAATATCTGATTGTGCCTTAGGATGCATTGCTTTCCAAGATAAGCTTTGGGAGTGGGGTAGGGGGTGAGAATGGGAGAAAATAGGAAAAACAAGGAAAGGCTTTGAATGTTGTCTGTTAGTGCAAGCTCTCATTGGAAGCCCAGTAGTTTTTAATCTGAGAGTGACTAGTATTGTTTCTCATTGGTGCTGTAGGAGTGGGCTTTGCCACTAGGCAGGTGGGGAATGTGACTAAACCAACAGTGATAATCAGTCAAGAAGGGGACAAAGTGGTGATCAGGACTCAGAGTACCTTCAAGAACACAGAAATCAGCTTCCACTTGGGAGAAGAATTTGATGAAACAACTCCAGATGATAGGAACTGCAAAGTAAGTAATTCAACTTCTTCCTGGAAAGGGAAGAACCAGGGTGAGGTGGTTAAAAGGGAGATTTAAGCTTTAGGATGTCAGGAAAATAACTTTTTCAAAAGGAGAGCTATCAAAAGTGGAATGGACAGCCTTGGAAGTGGGAATTTCCCCATTATGGGAGTCTTCCAGAAGAGGCTGGATGATCTCTGGTCATCCATGTGTATCTCTCTCTCTCTCTATCTATCTCCTTCTTGCCCCCATCTATCTCTCTGAAATTCTTTTCAAGGTATGTGTTGAATTAGATACACACTAAACTATCAACTTTGAAATTCTGTGTTTAAAATCTCCTCACCTATTTCTTTCTGGGGGGGATTTCAATTCAGTGGTGCCATTTTCCACTGGGAAGACTTCCATCCTACTGCTGGTGCTTGGGGTGTTAGATCAACTTTGCTGATCCATAATCTATTTTCAGTTCTATCTCTAGTTCAAATTTTCCCATTCCATTAAAGCTACATTCCGTTCTTACCCTTCATTTTCCCCTTCAGCTGTATTCCTCAAACAGTGCAAAGTCTGAAGTGTACACTCAAAAGAAGGGAACATGCATTCCTCCTAACATCTTTGAGAAGATTAGATGAACAATATTATAAAATTGTTTCATTTCAAGGCTTCATTTAAGTGCAAATGGTATAGAGACAAGTGATTATTTGTTTTGGTATGGAATTTTAATTTCTGATACATGAAGGCATTGAATTTTGAACTAAGATATACACTCTAATAAAATGATTAATAAAAAATAGAGAAGTTATATAATTCATGTTTTAATGATATAATTTTTATAGTTAATTTTAGTATAGCAATGGTGATAGCAACCACAGAATGGGCTCTTACCATAACACCAGTCAGTTGTTCAAGTTGTTTTAACATAGATTTCCTTTAAAGAGAAGTTAAGAATTGTCTCACTTCCTTCTAGGCTTAAATCTTAACCATTTTATTGTTGTCTTACTTCTGTTGTGTTTTTATTCTCCACAGTCTGTTGTGAGCCTGGATGGTGACAAGCTAGTTCATGTTCAGAAATGGGATGGCAAAGAGACAAACTTTGTAAGAGAAATTAAGGATGGCAAAATGGTCATGGTGAGTAAGAACAATACATTCCACCTAGAATTCATTTGGTTTACAATATGCAACATGAGTAGCAAAAACATATTAGTGTGTGTAAAAAGAAATTTTCCCATAACTACTGTTTGAAATGCAGGAGATAGGGTAGTATATGAGAAGTCAGTCTTGTATATTAAGTATAGCAAATTTCCTCTTTTGGTAATTATTACAGTGTGTGAGAAAAAGGACTTTGGTTGAAAGGAATGTTTAAATCTCAAATGAAATAAATAATGAACTGTGAAAATATGAAAGAGATCGATAATCATTTTATCATTAGAAGAATACTAAACTTAATAAATTAAGTTTCAAAAAATAAAAATTTACATATCCAATTGATGAGCAGCAAGAAAATATTATCACTAATATATATTTAGAACATTTGTATGATTTTAAAGTACTGATATTCAATATTTTCAGTAATAAAAAGATAAAAGTATGTGCTAGCAAAATAAATGAAAACTAATTTTCAAACTTAATTTCCTCAACTAATTAAGTTGAACAGAAGTGGTTTTATGAGTGTAAAAAATGATATAATATTTTGACCCACCTACTTTGGGCAACTTAATGTGTAATGTAGGGCAATGACATTTTGATGTCACGCATATATTTGAGGGAACTCATTCATTCTTTGCAGTTTTTTAAACATATTTAAAAAAAGAATCAGAAAAGAGTTCATTACATAAAGCTTTGTGCTATTTGAATAATAGGCTCTGAATACTTGAACCATCATTATTTTGCAATGAAATGCAAAAGGTCATTGCATTGCTGAGCGTAAAAGGTTAGGGAAAGGGAAAAGAAAAAAATGTACTAGCAACTAGATTTTTCACCTTACCTAACAGTGCATTTACCTAGAAAACATTAACCATAGATAGATAACATATTTCAGATCCCACTTCCCCTCCCACCCACCCTAGCCCCTAATCCCCACCTAGATTTATATGATGCTATTTATGCAAAGTAGAAAATACTTTACATACACTGGCATGCAATGCAGGCCCATTTTACACATGAGAAAATCGAAGTAATTTCTTAAACTGATTCTGTAACTTGCCCAATATGAATCAGGTAGTAAATGTTCACTCTTTTGACTCTAATTCCAATGTATTTTCCCCTCATACTTGTTTTAAGTAAAGGTTCAACTGTGGTCAGTGATGAATTATATACCAAATTTCAAGAAAACTAATCAAAGAAAAAATGATGGAAGACAATGACACACTGAACTCATGCAGATGTCACATGTGTTTGCACTTGTATGTGAAATGATAAATCATAAAGGAAACAGTTTGGCAAAGCATAAATACCAATTTTTTTTTTTAATTTGACATCCATATGCTAAAAAACACAGGTCAATAATTTGGACTACTTTAACCATATTTGCAGTCCTACCCTGGATTCCACCATCAAACACAAAGGACCACACATTCACCTGGTGAATTTGTGTCCAGCTTTTTCAAAGACTACATCTTTGTTCAGATAATTTTTGACTGGCTGTGTTCAAAATCTGCCAAAAATTCAGTGATACCAAACTTAGGAAATTATGCTTTGCAAACCAGTACAAGAGTTCTACATTCAGATTTTTTTTTCCTTTATGAAGAATGACTCCTGAACTACCATTAATTTCCTTACACACAGCTGAAAAAATCATCTAGGTATATCAGGCCCAAAGCTTAGGTTCCCTCAGTTAGACAGTATGATAAAAGTGACAGAGCATCAGAGTTGTCATCAGGGTGACCTAATTTCAAATCTTTCCTCAGACACTTTCTAGTGGTAATGTTCAGTATAAGCTATTATTATTACTTTGATCATTTAAAGTATAATTAAGTTTTTTGGTTTGACCTGGTTCCCTTGCCAAGATTTATCAGTTCACTTTGTTCATAGAGACTTACAATATGTATATTAATGAAATATTTAGAACCATATATGATCTTAAAAAAAAAGTAGGTGAATCAATCCCTGAATATTCAGGCAAATTTTCAAATTTTCAAGGATATGAGTTTCAAGGCTCCAGATAGTTTAAGCTACAGTTTAAAATATAAAAAGAAAAATACCACCACTGATATATTTTTTTCCTGAATTTAAAAACTTATTTATATTTTAATATTCTAGACTCTCACCTTTGGAGATGTGGTGGCTGTTCGTCACTATGAGAAGGCATAAACAGCATCATGATGGTCCCCTGTCCAGATGAATACTTCAAGAGAAGTTTTTGTTTTTTTCTGTCACTCTGATATGAGTACCACCATACTACTGATGTGAATGCCACTGTGACCTGGAAGGTGATGAGCCTTTTAAAAATGTTGCTCAAGTCAATTATCCCACTTGTTGTAAATTGAATACTTACAAAAACTTTGCATGGTCTTGGAACCATATTTTTTACAAAAGAAAAATAAATAATTTTTTATGATTTGTGGGGGAAATTAAAGTCAAATAAAGATAACATGTTAGAAACATGTGTAACTTCGTGAATTAATGAAGTACTTTGGCTGGGAGGTAGACATTAGGGCAGCTTATAACAAATTAGCCTTTTATTAGTTCTTAGAGTCTCTTTGTGCAGAATGCCAAAAAAAAAAAAGCCCAATTAAGTACACTGAAGCTTTGTTGTAACACTATTCTTAGAGTCAATGCCAAATTATAGACGAGAATATAATAAGGTACTTTTGAAAATTAGATCCACTTGTACAGGGGCCAAGACACACCTACTATCTTGGGTTGTTAAAACTAGGCTTTAATACGGTCTAAAGAAGCAAAATGAAATTTTCACATTTTATTATTTAAAAAAAGGTATACAAAAATAAACTGGAATGGAGGGAAAACTTGTCAGTTAAGATTTAAATTTGAAAAAACTTTTTTGTGTCATGGACTTCTTTGGCAGTCTGGTGAAGCCCATGGATACCTTCTCAGAATAATATTTTTAAATGTATAAAATAAAATACATAGGGTTACAGAGGAAATCAATTCGATTGAAATAACATCATTATATATATAGATACATATATGTATGTATGTATGTATGTATCTATCTATCTATATCTATATCTATATATATATAAACACACACAAGTTCACAGACCCTAGGTTAAGAAGCTATTTTAAGGTCAGCCCTTTTAAAAAAGAAATTAGCACTTTATCTGACCTGATTTCTAGAGCAAAAAAAAAAAATACAGGATTTTAATTTACTGTCCTTTTGATTTCTTAGGAAACCCCTCTGTGTGATCTGAAAAAAATGGGTAAACATTGTTTTTCTGGAAAAATATATTTCCATTTCAATGAGTATAGCCACTCTAAATCCATTTAAATTTATATTTAGAAATATTTTAAAACTTTTATCTCAAAGTATTATGAATAGTCTTAGCAAGATGCTGAATTACTTTAGTGACAATGATGTCTAGTGGGATAATTTTAAAATCTGATAGATATCTTGAATTAACATGTGAATGAAAATAACTACATACAATCAATTTACTGTCTGGTGAGACAGAGACTGCCTGGGGAAGGAATCCCTACAGCTCTCCAAATATTGTGTTGGGACTCTGTTATAAGGCCTGAAATGGGTCAGTCAGATGATGTTTGCCATACCATATCCTGACATCTGTCATTTCTAAACCCTTCCTGAAAAAATGATCAACTCAGATCTGTCTTATGGTGTGCTTATGTGTAATATTTGTTTCCCACCTCCATTTCTAGAGATGCAAAGTTGGCACTTGGGCTTCTTGAAATGGAGTTGGATTTTATAATAATGACAATAATTTCCATGACAATGCATGTATTTGTTTCATGAAGTAAAGGATGAAAACTTTTCTTTTCCCTGTTGGGGGACTGTTAAATGGGATGGAAAGAAAAGCTAAGCTAGAAAGGGTGGCACTGGTGACAGGATTTGAATTTAAAATAGCTAATGTTGGCAATCTTCCTGCCTTCTCCTTACATGCATTCAAGCTAATTCGAAGTACTTTCTTCCTCAGATCTTACCCTGTTTACATAGCAACAATGGCATACATTTATATAGCCCTTAACAATTTACAAAGCACTTTCTCATAGCATCCTTGTGTATTCAGTAGCACACATTATCCCTAACAGCTGGAGTCCTGGAGTCCCTTCTTCAGCTGGGCAGAGGGGCAGTGGAGGAGTTAGAGCAGCTGTAGCAGTGACTGCCACATCAGATTTATCAGAAATATTGGTCATGACAAGATGACTTGGGGCATTGTGTGCAATCCTTGGGTCCTCCTTAGACAATCCTTGGGCCAGAAGATTAGAGGCCTGGTTGTGCAGGGACGTCATTTCCTATTGCTTAGCTGTGCCCTATGGCATTGCTTCAGTGCAGCTAGACCATAGGAGTGAGGTAATAGAGGAATCAGGGACTGCTAGCTTGGGACCACTCTGGTCAGTGGTTTACAGGCTTTGCTATCCACCGTAGAAACAGAGAGGAGGCTGTCCTTTTAATGCCCTATAAACTCATCATTAAGAACTTTAAGGAAATTGGATCCCAACACCTTTTCAGATATGAATTGTCTGTACTTATAGGTTAGAATTATAGACTATTATCTTTAGAGGAACATAAATCCATAATGAAGAAATAATTTAAAGTTGGGAGGTAATAAGCTAGCTTAGCTCACATGCCCTTTTTTATGGTATGGAGGGTAAGATTCAGTTCAATTCACCTAGCATTAAGACCCTACTGTTTGCAAAGCGATGTAAGTATGAATAAAGTGGGTAGAGGACTAGTTTAGGAGTCAGGATGACCTGGGTTATGTTGGCGGTGTGTCCATGGAAAATTATTTTAACTTCTTAGTGCTTTAGGCATTTCTTTCAGAGTATAAATTAAAGAGGATTTGATAATATAGATTGGTGAGGAGAGTTTCCATACTGGGAATTACCCACATCAATGCAATGAGAGATCTGGATTGTAAAAAAAAATATATTTAAGGCCGTTTGCCTTGTTTTCATTCCTCTGAAGGTGGCACAATCACTTTCCTAGGAATAATATAGTTTTCACAAGATGGTGAGTATTTTATAGCATTTCACTAGCACATTATGATTTTCCTTCTGGCTGTTGTTTTTCCAGTATTTCCATGTCTCATAAAAATATTTGTTCTTGGATCTCTTGTGTAAAAGAATCTTTAAGTTGGGTTTACTCTTTTGAGGTAAACATTCCCAGGACTCCCTGGCTTTCTTTGTAGCTTTTTTGAAGTTGTTCTAAGTCCAAGCCTTGTGTTTTGTTCCTCTCTCAGAGACTTGCCTTTGGAAGCTCTTCTTTTCTTTTCCTCCCTCTCAGATTGTTAATGACTGAAAAATTGTCTTCTCAAATGTTTGCAATCTCTGTTACCTAGACAAACTTAAAATGCTTTGTTTCTGTCTGATGTTGCTAATGTTAGACTCAGTGTTACCACCCGCAATTACTTTGGTTTACTTTTCTGCTTGTTTTCTATAGGTCTTTCTTTTGCTATGGATCCATTTTATGCAAAAATAATGTTTTTCTTTTAGTACTTGTTTCCTTTATCCAACACATTGAGGAGCTGAATAAGCTATGTGTATCCCGTTTTCCCTAACATGATTCCTTGAGGCCAAGGTCACTCACTGCATCCTGGGCTAGTCATCTTGACTTTCGTCTTGCCATTGGACTTTGATGACTCTGAAGGAAATAGTGAGGCTGACGACTTTCAGCAGCTCTGCCTCACTTAAATCCAGTTGCAAATCAAGACATCACCCTTGTGATGTCATTGGTCCCCTTTGAGAATGAAGAACGATATTATTATCGCCATTTTTAGACATGAGAAAATTGATTCTCAGAGAGTATGACTTACTCACCTATAGTAACAAACCCAGTAAACGGGGCAGAGGAAAGGAAAGAGACTCAGGACTTTAATCTAGTTATTCCACCTTTACTGACCTTTCTACCATACCACATTGTCTCTAAGCATGTCAAGAAGCTAATTTCTTTGTATGTTATTGATAGGTATTTACTGTAAGAACAACAGTGACAAATGGCAAATACCAAAGGCAATTTGACCTAGAAGTCGTTTCTAAGACACCAAGTTCAAAAAGATAAAGACTATACTAAAAATAAGTGTTGCAACACAGAGCAGTCATTCCCTAATCACAAGCTACTGGAAGACAGGATATCATCTCATATTTGTTCTCACCAACAATACAGCCAGTGTCCCTCTAACCCTCCTGGAGAGAAATATAGATCTATAATTTATAAATGTGTGTACCATGGTCATGATTAGGTTAGATAGACAAGAGGGTTATAGATTGGTGGGTATAAAAGAGATAGATAGGAAAGAAGCCACAGGATATTCTATACTATTTTAATTATGCATTTTATGGATGAATATTCATTTTGTACATATATGCTGTGTCTCATAGATGGTAGGCAGTATTTTATTGGCTTATCTTGGAGAATTGCACGTGGAATAACATTCCCAATTTATTTATAAATGACATTAATGATGGTTCAAAAGTCATCTATCCCAATTCACTCTTTTCTTCTCTATTTGTTTCTTTACTCTTTGGACTAGAATTTTAGTTATCAATCAACATATACTCTCATATTTTGCTGTCCTGAAAATTGTCATTTATTTTTTTTTTCTCTCCTAGCCTTTATTGCTCAGATGTTTTTCCACACACACCTTTAACTCCAAAGCTTCTTTTCTGAGCTGATATTTTCCAAGTACCATTTTTACCCTATGGTGAGAAAGCAGTTTGGTACTTCTTACAATTTTGAATGTTGTTTCAGCATGTCTCTGACTGGACTTGAAACATAGGACTGTGAAGCTTTGGTTTCCCATTCAAAGCCCCATTCACTGGTCACAACACTCATTAGATTACACAGGGAAAAAAAAAGAATGTTTTTCTTGATTGGAAATGAATGCACTTTCCCGGAAGAGTTTGCTGAGGGCAAGAAAAGAGGAAGATGTTTTCTTCCCCTAACGAATTTCCACATTCTGATAATTACATGTAGGAGGAGCTTGTTGTCTTTAGGACTTTTCAGTCTTACCATGAAACAGTCACTAAACGCACAAGACTAAGCAATGGGATATTCGCACCCCTATGAGACTAAGGTAGCTAACTTGTCTCAAAGTGTTTTTGGGGAGAAAGAAAACGTACTACCCTCATTATGAATCTCCTTTCAACTCTCTTAAATACAGAACAGCAAAAATCCAAGACACTCTCTCTCCATCCCAAGCCTACATTTTAGCCAGTTTTCAAAGACCAGGAGGTGCATAAGGGTTTGCAAGTTTTTTTTCCCCCTAAAGAAGTTCAAACAATTCTCAGAAAAGAGGTGTTTGGATGGATATATATTGGTAAATAGTTTTTTGGGGTTTTTTTTGCACATCGTCTCATTAGAATGAGCTGTTTGAGAGTGAGGACCGTGTCTCCCCATTTCGTTCTATCCCCAGAATTTAACAGTGTCCGGCACATAGTAAAATCAAATGCTTGTGTGGACAGACGATGATGAGTGTGAAGAGATTCGCACGGCCCGAACTCCTAGAAGTAGGAGCGGGGATACTCGCTAATGGAGAACAAGACCTTGGAGTGGAGGAGTTGGAGTTAGAACATACAAGGCAGACGGTAGCTCCCGGAGTTAAGCTGCTCAGCTCTTAACAACGCCACTCTGGCCACACGTGACAGGCTCACCCAGAGCCTCCAGCAAACGCCTCCTTTTCCCACCCCACCCCCCGGGGACTGACCTGGGGCCTGAGCTTAACCACCCCAGACAGAGCGACCTTCCTGGGCAGGCTCCAGAGAGCCCGACCTGGGCTATGGAGCTGAGGGGCGCGTTGTCCTGGGCATGCTGCCTGGTGAGCAGCTTGTATTTATGTTCTGCCTTTGTTCTCCCAGTCGGGAACTCTGCCCCTGCGGCCCGAATTCAAGACCCTGCGGTTGGTAAGTGCTCTGCCATCCCTTCCTAGAGGCTGGCTATGGAGAACTGCAAGGAATGGGAGCATAGACGCAGCAGTCTTTAGATAAATTATTAACACATTTTTTTAAAAGAGCCTTCTTCATTCCCCTGACTTCATTTTAGCCGTAGGGGGAGGGAAAGCACTTTTGAGTTGTCTAAAGCTTGGGTGGAAAGAGAAGGCAGGAAGGAAAGACTCAAGGAGGGGGAAGGATAAAAGTATATGGGGAGGGTGGAGGGTAAAAGCATGATGGGGGCAGGGGAAGTGAACTGAAGGGAGGGAGCCCCCGTCTGCCAGCCTGCTTACCCTAAGGGCGGAGAGTGAGACTGTGATGGGGCAGCTGCTGCTTTGGGATCTGCTCTCCCAAATCCAGCCCAAGGGAAACTGTCAGTCAAACAAAGCTGCCTCTGGTAAGAGTGAGCACCAAACACTCGAATAGTCAACTCCAATCTTTCTTTGTTTTTACCTGCGCAACCACTCGTTTTATTACCTTTGGCTGCTTGGAATCCTAGGTGGCTCCTTAACCTTTCTGGAAAACGAAAGCTAAAGATCTTTCTTCCTCTTACTCTGAAGTTCCAGCGGGAACGAGGAAAAATTGGTGAAAATGCACACCTCCCAGTGATCTGACTTGAGGCTGGCCGGTGCACAGGCCTGCTTTCTTTCAGTCCTACTCAGGATTGCCGTTTGTTATCTTGCTTTAACGACTCAAAGATCTAGGTGTTTCTCCACCCTCCCCACCCCCAGCATCCCGGAGCTCTTCCAAAAATGAAACTCCCCCGGAAGGACTTGGCTTTTTCGTGGAAGTAGCTGACTCTTAAGCGTGTGCAGTGGTTAGCATTGAAGCAAACACTTCTGTCTCTAAGCAAGTGATTATTCTTTTGTAATGTGCTGGGGCGCATACCTGTCTCTGGCTGCCAAACTCCTGTGACTCAGCTGCTCTGACAAATCGCTTTCCTAACTTTAGTGAATGGCAGACATAACAAGAAAGCGTCTCTGATGATTTCCCAAGAGTTAGCTGCTCCTTTTGTCTCGTTGCTACACTGTGCTGTAAAAGTGTACTGAGCAACTGTTCCGTGCCAACCATGGTACTAGGTCCTGGGGGAGAAAACAGGATTCAGATAAGTGGGGTTCCCTGCCCTCAGAAGTTCCTTTTCTAGACCAGGTTGAAGTGACACTCCTTATTGGAATTTAAAGATGCAAATTTCTCAGTGTAAAAGAGCTAATCATTCCTTGATTTTAGGGATTTAGTAGAAACTTGGCTTCTAGTGAACTATGTTTAAGGTCAACAGTTCGTCTTTTGGGGAAAGGAAAAATAAAGTTTACCTAGACCGGTAGGAAGTGAAGGGCAAAGGGGAAAGTGTAGCCGTCAAGTGTTTGAAAGCCTAAAGTGCTAATGCAGTATTTGAAGATTTCTGTACTATTGTGTATGATTATTACTGAAGGTGAACATTTACAGAAAAAACCAGGACTTCAGTAATTCTTACTACAAACTTTGTTACCCCAGGTTTATTTCCTTACTCCCTAGTCCCTACTCTTTCAAGGTTTTTTTTTTATTTTGGTAAATCTGGAGAAGTGCTGTCAGACTTCACATAGGTGTGCTTAATTAATTATAATGCATATCACTATCATATATTTAGCACATATATTCTTTGCCAATCACTGTTCTAAGTCAGGTATATACAAAAACCTGACCTTTTAGAACTTCGTCCCCTAGGGAGACCAAGGATTTGTAGATAAGTAAATTTGGGATATGTATAAAATACACAGTGATTCAAGCATACTAAAAAGTGGGGAATTCATGAAAGGCCTTTTGAAGGAGGTGGTAAATCCACTGAGCTTTGAAGGCAACCAGGAGTCCTACTGTTTACAGGTCTGGAGGGAGAATGTTCTAGATATAGGGGACAGCCTGTGCAAGGGTAAGGGGGTGGGAGATGAAATATCGTGTATAATGAATGGCAAGAAAACCAGTTTGACTAACAAGCCACTAGTTTATGAGGGGAAGCAACATGCAACCAAACCTAGAAAGGGAGGTTAGGGCCAGATTGTGAAGGGTCAAATTAGAATTTATGTTTTATCCAAAAGGTAACAAGGAGCAACTGAAGCTTCACGAACAGGGGTTTGATCTATGCTTGTCCATAGTAGTAAAAGTAAAAAAATGTCAGGGCCAAGATTCATTGCTTCATAAGTTAGAACAGGAGTAAAGTGAGAAGTCTTTCTAGTGGAAGTCCTTCATGTTACAAATGAGGAAACTCTGGCCCAGAATTATCATGACTTGTCTAAGCTCATACAGGATTTGAACTCTAGTTCTCTGATTTGAAATCCAGTACTTTTTCTGTCATAAAAATTAAGGAACCAGGATTTGAACCTAAGTCTCCTGACTCTGCAGGCAGTGAGGTAGCACAGTGGATAAAGTGGGGCCTGGAATCAAGAAGACTCATTTTTGTCAATTCAAATCTAGCCTCAGATACTTACTAGCTCTGCGACCTTGGGCAAGTCAACTTAATCTTGTTTGCCTCAGTTTCCTCATCTGTAAAATGACCTGGAGAAGGAAATGGCAAACTATTCCAGTATCTTTGCCAAGGAAACTCCAATGGGGTTTTCAAAGAGTTGGACTGGACAATAACAATAACATTAACAGCCCCTGACTCTAGATCATAAGGCTTCTGAATTTGAGGGGATTGATTAGTAGGGAGAGACTTGGATAAGGTCTTATCTTTTCCCTTCAAAAATCTTTGCTGGCCCTCTTTTGTGTGCTGAAACAATCTTGATACCACCTTGCCCATGCAGCATTATCTTATGTTAATCCTCTCCATACACTCAATGGGTGGCAGAAGTATAGCAAATAGAGGCATTGGAGTCAAGTAGACTGGTATGCAAAGCCAGGCTCTGATAACATATTTTTTGGGTATTTTTTTTTTAATTTTAAACTTAAATACAAAATGAGAAAAGAAAAAAAATTGCCATGTACACAGCAGACCACATGAGAGGATTCAATATAAAACAATACATTTCTACTTCAAGAAAACCTATGTAATAAATACTACACCTTATTTTCAAAGCTGCCCAGCTTTTCTTTGCTTCCTTGTTGGTTTCTAATAACATGTTTACTGTGTAACCAGCACTTAGCTTTGGGCCTGCTTCAAAAATACATGTTGACTGATCTTGGGCAAGTCATTTTATGAATCAGTGCCCCAGGCAATTCTCTAAAACTAAATTACATAGCAGCTTCTAATTTGAATTAGTAAACTGATAGAGGGAATTCCTCTCTGACGTTTATCCCTCCCCTCTCCTTTTATCTGTCTCTTTCTCTCTTCTCTTTTCTCTCCCTCTCTCCCTGCTCCTTTCCCACTCTCCCCTCCTTCTCTTCCCTCTTTTCCCCTCCCTTTTCACATCCCTACTCTGTTAATTTATTATAAATTTTTAAGCCCAGTTCAGGTGTCCTCCCTGAAGTCTTCCTTATTTCATTTCCACAGTCTGTAGTAACCATACCCCATCTCAGCTTTGCAGTACTACTTTTCATGTTATCAAGTATTATTCTGTATTATTGAAGCATGTGGTGTATTTCTATTAGGGTAAGTTTGGTGTGCCACCTAAACTTTGTATTCTCCCAAGATCTTTCTTCCTATCCTAATCTTAATTTTATAGTTAACCAGTTCAGTTTGACACTTTCCTCTGCTCTTGAATCCCTTGCGTCTTTTTCTTATCACCAGGCATGCTTTGCCTAACCCCAGCCCCAAATTATCCCAGTCAGTCTCCACTGTTTGTATTTTGGCTGCTAAAAGATCCTGGAAAAAGTTCACAAAACCTTGCTGACTAGATCCACTACTAATTGACATTGTCTAATTTCAGTTTTTGTGTGCTCACTATTGCATGGCAATCCTTCCCCCGCACCCCCTTCACTAATGCAATCTCTATTTCATTTCCTACAGAGATTGTTCCAAACCTTCTCTTCTGTCTTCTAACCTCCCATGACACCCTTTGCACCTCCCTCTCAGCAAAGAACCTTTCATACTTCACTGAGAAAATAAGATGCTATTCTCTGTGAGTTCCTGCTTCTCCTCTCTAACAATCTCTTTGGCTTCATCACTCACTCTCTCTTCTTTCATTCCGGCTCCTGATGCACTGCTCACCAACGCCAAACTTTCTGCTTATGCCTTGATCTCACTCCCTCCATTGACAGATTATTCCTTCTGTGCTGCCTACAAGCATACCTGGTCTCTCTTATCTTTTAAAGCAAAATCAAACAAAACCAAACAAAAAACAACCCTCACTTGGTTCTACCATCCACTCAAATTATTATCTTTTATCTCTCCTTTTCACAGTCAAACTCCCAGGAAAAGATGCTTACACTTCTTGCCTCATCTCAACTTATTACTGTCTGGTTTCTAGCCTCATTACTCAACCGAAACTGCTTCCTCCAAGTTTGCTGCTGGCCTCTTAATTGCTAATTCTGAAGGCCTTTCTACAGTTTACATCCCTCTTGACCTATGCTGCATTTGACACTGTTGACCACCTTCTTCATCTGAATACTTTCACCGGTCCGAATGTCCATGCCATTGTTTTCTCTTAGTTTTTCTCTTATTTGTTTAATCCCTCTTCCAAAAAAAAAAATCAAACTGGGAGGGGTAGACCTTCAGGGTTTCTGGCCAAAAGAGAAACTGTTACTATTTACATTCACTCTGAGCAAGGAGGGCTCAGAAGTGGTGCTTGGGCAGGGACCTATTGTTGTTCAATCTATGAGCTCCAGAGTGAATTGGGTTTAAAACTTGATCTTTGAGAAAGAAATCTAGCCAATAAACCCCAGAGAAGGAAGAGAGGGATAGGGACATGAGACTGGGAGATGGGACGACAAGCTGAGTTACCCAACTGGAACTGGCCAGCTGAGTCCTATTCAGGCAGCTCAGACTACTCACAGGTTGTGTTTATCTTTTGTTCTTGAAGATGACCATGACATCAGGGAGATGATGATATGACTGCAATTGACTTAAAAGGGTCATCCCTTGACTCACATCTTAAAGAGACCTATTCACTGAATGGGCCTTACCTCATTCAAAGTGAGAACCTGAAGAGACCTTAGCTTAAAAGGGTCAGAGTCTTCCATTGCATCCTGGGCCATCTCCAGTTATATTGGTGAATATCTGGCCACTGAATCCAGAGGGCTCTGGAGGAGAAAGTGAGGCTGGTGACCTTGCACAGCCATTCCTCATTCAAGTCAAAATCAATTGTAAGTCATGTCATCATCTCCCTGATGTCATGGTCCTCTTCCAGAACAAAGGACAAACACAACAACAATTTGTCTAGTTACTTTTCATACTCCTTTGCTGTATGATCATCAATGTATTTAACTCCAGTTGTGGATATATCCCAAGGCTCCATCCTAATCCCTCTTCTCCCCCGTCCCATACTTTTTCTTAGCAACTTGAAGTCTGTGCATTTAGTTATTATCTCTAAGCAGATGACTCAGATCTCTCTCTCTCTCTCTCTCTCTCTCTCTCTCTCTCTCTCTCTC